TTTTGTTAAGTATTTAGGGGGTACGTTACGATACCGAAATCAACTTGATTTCGGTAGAGTTACCGAAATCAACTTTTCATTACCGAAATCAACTCGTAAAACACAAACTAGTTAAAATATTGCTATTATTTCTTCATTATTTGATGAAAAATAGTAAAATAGATTTTCAGTTAAAAAATCTGTTGAAAATATTTTATTTAACGATGTTATTAACAAAAATGTAATTATTGAGTTACTTCCCTTTGTTCTAAACAGCCCGTTATGTGTTTAGCATTACCGAAATCAGCTGTGAAGTTTAAATTATTTATATAAAATACATGTATAATACATATATATTGATTATTTGAGGTATTATGTTTTTGAAATTAAAGAAAACCTACTGATGAGAGCGTTCAGTTGCAACTGAATAGATATCGCGTGTGATATCTGTTCAGTGCATCCAGGCCACACCACGGGGAGGCCTTCATGGCCCATCATTTTTTTCTTTTTTCTTTTCTTTTTTTTCTTTTTTTTTTCTTTTAATTTCTTTTATAATCAATTAATTAATTTTCTTTTCATTTTTGTCAAATTTAATATCTATGTTTTTTTGTTTGTTTGTTTTTTTTATATTTTTTTTTTATATACATCTTTTTTTTCATATGCATCTTTTACATAATAATGTACGTTTTCATCTATAACAATAATACTTTTTGCATACATTCTACCACTAGAAGATGGATTTTGTAAGACATTAGCACAAGCACGTGATTGTCGTGCATGACAATTTTCTATTCAAATAGTATTTTTAAAAAGCTATGATCGGACTTTGATGGAAAAATATAATACTGTGTAATGTACACAAATTATGTATGTACAGCAACAATTTATTACAAGACACTAGCACTAGCACTAGATTGTTCTGCATAACAATTTTCTGCAGAAAAAATATCCGGACGTTTATGATTTTCTATTATAAATTTGAATACAGATATATAATTTGACTGCTCTAAAAATTTATCAGGGAATAATCTTGATATTTAGTTATTTGATCCTTATTTCATAATTATCAATTATTTTAAACTGATTTTTTGCATGTAAGTCAAAATTAACCTATTGTAATATATTATAATGAAAAACAATTAATAAAACGCTTAATTGTGATTTTATAAGTTGATTTCGGTAATGAAAAGTTGATTTCGGTAACTTTACCGAAATCAAGTTGATTTCGGTATCGTAACGTACCGGTATTTAGGTGCAAATCTGGATCAAATTCTTTTGGCGTCGCCCTTTGATGCTTTGCATCAATGCTTTTCTTGTATAGTATTAAAAGGCTTTTGGCATGCCTAGATAAACATTGCTTTTTCATTGACCTTTAGAGAATAATGTTTTGTAAATCAGGCCAAATAAAAAAAAAATTCTTTGGTCATTTTGTAAACACACATAATTATGATGCATTTGTTTGAAATTTACTAATTAAACATCTTATAAATGTATACATTTAATAAATGAAATGTATGTATCTAATTTGCTTGAAAAAATTAATTTACTGCAGTAACTACATGAAATAAAGGACTTACAACTGAAAAACACAAATATTTTTAACTGTCAGGTTTTTACTCCCATTCTATAGTAGTTAAAGGTGACTGTTTACTGGTTTAGAAGAAAATTATTTATCTAAATTACTTTAAGTTTTTTCTTCTCCACTTAAAAACTTTAGTGTACACAAATTTAAAGGTAGGGTCACTTTCTCCTACCTGTGAAAAAAAGTCTTATGTGTTGCAGATAATTAAAAAGGGTTATGTTTTCTTTTTTACCTAGCTTTCTTGAACTAAGAGTTTATGTTGACTGATAATGGATTGATGGTTTATTTGTCATTCTGATTCATCCGCTTCTAGCTCAACAATTTGTTGAATACTCAGCTAGGTGTGTTGGTGTTGATTTGGCATCGCTGTAACATTTAAGCCTCTTTAATGATGAACAATGGTGTGGTTCATCGCAAGAGCTTAAAATAGAAAAGAAAAAGATATTTGGTATTCATTTTAAATTGGATCATTTCGATTTTTACTGAAATTTAACAAGTTTATTAGGAAACGTTGTAAATTATACTTCTCTCACAAACTTAGTGTATATATATTAAAGCTTATATCTGCAGCCTGTTAACAGTTAACAAAATTATTGTTTGCATTTTGAATAAAAAATAGTGTTTGTCCTTTATCATGAAGAGCAAATGGTGCATGCACAAAACCATTGAAAAACGGTTAGAACTTTATTTAAATATAACCTTATTTAAATATTTTGCAATGTTTCAGAACATTTTATTCTGTTAATGACACTACAACATCTAATTGTGTGTTAGTGTGTTAAATAAACAGAGGCAATTTCTATGTTACAACTCTTTGCAGAATCAGCCATACCGTTATTTTTTATAACATAATTTTTACAGTTTATAAGTTTTATAACCTATTTATTTGAAGAAGCCTGACCAAAAAAAAAAAAAAAAAAAAAAAAAAAAAAAAAAAAAAAAAAAAACATAATAAAACAAAATAACCATAAGAAAGACAAAAATTTTAGATTTCTTCTATTAATTATGCCCCCATTTTGAAAAAAAGGGGGTATATTGCTTTGCACTTGTCGGTCCGTCGGTCCGTCGGTCCGTCGGTCCGTAGACCAAATGGTTTCCGAGTGATAACTAAAGAACCCTTAGGCCTAGGAACTTCAAACTTGGTATGGTGATTGGTCATGACCAGTAGATGACCCCTATTGATTTTGGGGTCAAGGGGTCAAAGGTCAAGGTCACATTGACCTTGAAAGCAAAAACGGTTTCCGATCAATAACTAAAGAACCTTAAGGCCTAGGAACTTCAAACTTGGTATGGTGATTGGTCATGACCAGTAGATGACCCCTATTGATTTTGGGGTCAAGGGGTCAAAGGTCAAGGTCACATTGACCTTGAAAGCAAAATCGGTTTCCGATCAATAACTAAAGAACCTTAAGGCCTAGGAACTTCAAACTTGGTATGGTGATTGGTCATGATCAGTAGATGACCCCTATTGATTTTGGAGTCAAGGGGTCAAAGGTCAAGGTCACATTGACCTTGAAAGCAAAAAAACAGTTTCCGATCAATAACTAAAGAACCTTAAGGCCTAGGAACTTCAAACTTGGTATGGTGGTTAGTCATGACCAGTAGATGACCCCTATTGATTTTGGGGTCAAGGGGTCAAAGGTCAAGGTCACATTGACCTTAAAGCAAAAACGGTTTCCGATCAATAAACTAAAGAACCTTAAGGCCTAGGAACTTCAAACTTGGTATGGTGATTGGTCATGATCAGTAGATGACCCCCTATTGATTTTGGGGTCAAGGGGTCAAAGGTCAAGGTCACATTGACCTTGTAGGTAAAAACGGTTTCCGATCAATACCTAAAGAACCTTATAGGCTTAGGAACATTAAACTTGGTATGGTGATTGGTCATGATCAGTAGATGACCCCTATTGATTTTGGGGTCAAGGGGTCAAAGGTCAAGGTCACATTGACCTTGTAGGTAAAAACGGTTTCCGATCAATAACTAAAGAACCTTAAGGCCTAGGAACTTCAAACTTGGTATGGTGATTTGTCATGACCAGCAGATTACTCCTATTGATTTTGGGATCAAGGGGTCAAAGGTCAAGGTCACAATGACCTTGTAAGTAAAAACGGTTTCTGATCAATAACTAAAGAACGCTTCGGCCTAGAAACTTCAAACTTGGCATGGTGATTGGTCATGACCAGCAGATGACCCTTTTGATTTTGGGGTCAAAGGTCAAGGTCACATTGACCTTGTATGTTAAAACGGTTTCCGATCAATAATAAGAGAACCCATAGGCCTAAGAACTTCAAAACTTGGCATGCTGATTGGTCATGAACCAGCAGATGACCCCTATTGATTTTGGGGTTCAAAGGTCAAGGTCACATTGACCTTGTAGGTTAAAACGGTTTCTGATCAATTTACTAAAAACGCCTAGGCCTAGGAACTTCAAACTTTGTATGATGATTGGTCGTGACCAGCAGATGACCCCTATTGAGTTTTGGGTCAAGGGGTCAAAGGTCAAGGTCATGACCAGTAGATACTTTATAACCCTTATTAATTGTTTGATCACTGGGTCAGACGTCATGCATAATAACCTTATCACATGACTAATTGGCTGCTGATAGGGGGCATACATGTTTTACAAACATATCTTGTTTTTGTGATAATTTTTATAAAAAATTTTAAAATTGTCTAGTAAACAAATTAAGTTTTTTGTTCAGTTAGAATGTTGGATGAGACAGTCCAATCTTCATAAATTATACAGGTAATGTGTAAGTAACACACTTAAAATAGCTCTTCTCCCATAAAACATGCTAACTGTTACATGTGTTTGTTACATATGATGTTTATACATTTCCTGGATCCTGTAACACAATTTTTTTTATAGTTTAATATCATAAAATGAAGATTTGTCAATATCTTAAGTTCAAAAAAGCATTATTTGCAAAGATATTACCGAATTAACATTTCATGTTAATAAAGAGAGGTAATAAGAAATCTATTTTCGATATAGTCTAAGCCAAATTTTGTCTATAAGAAATGATTGCATGGATTTTAATGATTACTTATAATACGAATAAACATTTGCAGTATATATTTAACATATTCTTGGATGTTTGGAAATTGTTTTAGAAGAATAATTATTTACATAATTATATAAAATTTCATATAAAAGTTATTACATCCGTAATTATAATGTTAAGGATCTTTAAACTACATGTAAAAACTGCTGGTGGAATTTCAATGAAATTTCAAAGAAATAATCTGAGTGCCATTCCTAGTTGCACATATCGCTGGCACATTCCGCCTGGCTGCACAAAATTAAGTTTGCGTTGTGAAAATGTGCTTTCTCATCTGTAAGTGTGTAGCTTGGATAGAATTATGTTCTGCATTAGGAAGTAATGGCAATTAACATAAGTATGATAAAGTGTTAAAATTGTTTATTCTCTGTTACAGCCGGAGGCAGGAAAATTTGTGTCATTTCACAGAGTCAAATTCTGGGTCGGAAAAATGCAAAACAGGTACTGTATATATTTCTCATCTACACAAACATTTTAAACCAGGTGAAGGTCACTGCTTTGTGTTCAAATCCCACCAGGGACTTTGGATTTCTTTCTTGTAAGGAAGCTATCCAACTTGCTTTCAGAACATCATTGGTTCTACTTGGATGCCCATTGCTACCTGAAAAATGCACAGAAGGGCAACTGAGGTCTTTCTCTTCTGCGCAACAGAAGTAATACCATCTTTAGCCAGCTTTGAATTTTGATAAGTCAATTTAAATTAGTCATATGAATTTGTTCTTTCTGTTTGACTCTACATCAATGTAATATCCAATATTAAAGTTAAATTGTTTGACTGGTCAGGGAGTGTCCATGACACTGACTGATGCTAGTACTGACACCCTGACAATTACCCATAACCCTTTGCACTGACATTGACCCCTAACCCTTGGCCCTGACATTGACCCCCCAACCCTTGGCCCTGACATTTACACTTAATTCTTTGCACTGATATTGACCCCTTGACATTGACCCCTAACCTTTGGCCCTGACATTGACCCTTAATACTTTGCACTAACATTGACCCCTAACCCTTGGAACTGACATTGACATCTAACCCGTGGCCCTGAAATTGACCCTTAATCATTTGCACTGACATTGACCCTTAACTCTTAGCCCTAACATTGATCTTTAATCCTTGGCCCTGACATTGACCCTAAATCCATGGCACTGACATTGACCCCTAACCCTTGGCCCTGACATTGACCTTTAACCCTTGGCACTGACATTGACCTCTAACCCTTGGCACTGACATAGACCTCTAACCCTTGGCACTGACATTGACCTCTAACCCTTGGTACTGACATTGACCTCAGACCCTTGGCACTGACTCCAACCACATTGTCCCTTAACGCTTATGCTTACTTTCTGATCCAGACCAGAACTATGTTTTAAGTACTAGAATTTTATTTCATAAGCTCACATGTCTTTTATAAAATCACATCTCTCAATCAAGTTGATATTTTAAGATACGTTTAATGCTCATCTATATCTAGGCTGCCTCTTACTACATTACAAGATTGGGTTTTGAACCCTTCGCATACCGAGGGCTTGAGACTGGAAGTAGAGAAGTGGCGGCCCATGTAGTCAGACAAAATAAGGTAACTTTTCTATTACTTCCTGTTTTAAGCCAAAATAGAGATAATTAAATTGTTTAAATGTGTTTCAAAACTTATTTGAATGTGTTAAAAAAAAAAAATTTTAAGAAAAAAAAAATTTCACCATTATGTTATAGTTATTAATAAGTCATGTAATAAATGGACATTTATTTATACAGCTAATTGTTTGATGTTAATTGTTTCACCTGAGATTCTCTATAGAAAGTCAAGATGTTATAATATGTATGACCCTGGGAAATGTCTTAATAGTCTTTATGGTGTTTTTAATAACTTTTTTTTCAGATTCTATTTGAGTTTGAAAACATGCTGAACCCTTATGAGCCAAAAGGTAATTATAATGTTTGTTCATTAAAGGCATATAAATGCTCAGAAATGAATAATACATTATGGCGTGTGTAGGAAGAGCAAACCTGCGTTTATACTCCTTAATAATGTATTAAGGCTTGTTAATGGAAAAGAAAAGAAAGAAATGGGCCAATGTGAAATAATTTGTGTTAAAGGCCCATTATGCCTTAGAAATGCTACTAATTTTATTTTCTCAATAACTTTTAATTTTGATATCTTGTGACTGTACTGTTTTCAATAATGCTTGTTCGCTATATACATGGACTATCTTTTGCAGATATAGCTCTGTTGGCAATCTGTGTAATTATAGTGAATTAGTGAATTAGCTTTTTGTACAGGAGTCAAAATACAACTTTTCTTACATTTCCCTACCTTTATTACATGTTATTCTTTCTTCAGTTATTAAACATATTAACATGCTCTAAATCCATTATTCAAACACTATTTTAATGTTTGACATTTCTAAAGAATTAAAAAATATTGAACACTGAGGCATAATGTGCCTTTAAAAATGTAACAAAATGTAAACAAGGTTTTGACATTCATACTAAGTACTTTATCTTTATTGGATTTAATTTGAAAATGCAAAAAAGCAAATGGTGGATCAGCTATATGCTAAAATAAATGGGGAAACTGTAACAGGATACATTAAAAATAAAAGTATAAAAAAAAGAGTGAAATTAAAATCAGTTTCGTTGTTGCTTAACATGCCTGAATGAGGATTTAAATTTATCAATTAAATTTAAAGTAAAGGAAATTTCAGTTGAAAGAAACACTTATTAATGAAATATAGATAAATGGTATTCATAAAGTACTATGATATTTTGATACTCACTCTTATCAGAGTGTGAAACCATAATAGTTTTTGTATACAGTAAATTCTCTTTATTAAGACCACTAATGCAACTGACTAAAATGAGTGGTCTTAATAGTGAAATGGTCTTAAAAGTGAATAAGCCACTTTTAGAATTGATGCAGTAGAACTAAACAACATGTAAATGTTTATGTACTCATGTCTTAAAAGCGAATGACACATGCACAATATCTTTGTGAAATAGATAAAACCCTGCTTAAAGTTGCAGAATTATATTTTGTTCTGGAACATTTTATTCTGTATAAGTACAATTGTATTATTATATAATTAGTTTTGTAATTTTTCTTGTCCAGTTCTTTGAAAATATTCTCTACTTGTTTACAGAGATAGGAGAGCATTTAATCAAGCATGGAGATGGGGTGAAAGATGTTGCATTTCAAGTGGAGGATGTTGATGCTATATACAAGGTAAATAATAACACATTAGTCAAATTACTAAGTGCTACACACTGTTTATATACCTATATATGAACCTTACACTGACTGTGAGTACAGATGGGAATATTAACAGCTACCACTCACTACAGATACCGAAACTCAATTTTACAAGTTAACTCATATTTGTTATTACATGTTTTTATTTTGGTGAACAGCCAACTAACTTTATACTTAGTCTACTGGTACCTCAGGTACTGAATCTGGTTTGATTGTGAGAAAGTGTAGATTTGGTTCCTGGCTTTGAAGATACAAATCAACTAATGTTCCTTGACACCTTACTTTATATTATATATATTTTCTTTAAACATACTTTTGTGATAAGCTTATAATATTATTAAAATATATGGTTCATATGGTAGTAAATCTCTGTATAAAAAATATTTTCTTTTATTTTAAGCGCACACGGTAGATGTATTGGTCATATGGAGAATTTCCAGCTTTACGGGTGAAGGAAGACCTCCGTTGCTTCTTTGTAAATTATTTCAGGCACAAGTGGGCTCCTGATTAGAACCACCAACATTCTGTAAACTAGCTGGATACATTCCTGCTGAGATTTGAGCGGTGAGGGACAGTAAAATTGAAGTCATAAATGGACAGTCTGGTCTAGTACAATACTGGGAATTATTGTTGCTAAAATACTAATATTCTTAGAATTAATGTCAAATTTTGTTAAATGTTTTCTTGATACTATTTCAGAGAGCTGTGGAGAAGGGAGCAATAGTCGTAAAACCGCCATCTGAGATGTCGGATGAGAACGGAACTGTACGATATTGTGTGATACAGACGTACGGAGATACGACCCACACCTTGTTTGACCTATCTGGCTTCAAGGGAATCTATTTACCAGGTTACAGAGCTACAGATTCCACTGGTGATCCCCTAACTAAGTTGCTGTAAGATAATTTTAGTATTGAAATTTATATAAGTTTTGATCTTTTTCATAAATTGCAAATAGTGATTTGACACTCGTGGTTAATTACAAAGACAATTCCACCTCATGTATGAAAATGTTATTTTCTTTTATGGTTTGGAGAACAGTATAGGTGTATGCTGACTTATCAACTTTAGTGGTAGAAGAAGACCTTGCATGCCCGTTTTTGCATTATTTCTGTCACAAGTGTGCATATGTAGACCTGTCTCAATATTTTGACTCCAAGACCGAACAATTTTACAAACTGACATTACATTAGATGTCAGGCATCCGTCGGACATATAATAAAAAGCCCTGGCGCACGATTTGTTGGGCTTGTGTAGAACCTCTTTTCTTTCAAATGCAAGATGGCTGATACTCATTGTCAACACAAGAACTTCTGATGATTGCTTATGATAAATACTATATGAGCCGCGTCACGACAAAACTAACATAGTGCGTTTGCGACCAGCATGGATCCAGACCAGCCTGTGCATCCGCGCAGTCTGATCAGGATCCATGCTGTTCGCTGTCAGTTTTCCACTTGTAATAGAGTTGGTTTTTGTGTGATTCTTAGCCCGATTTGAGTGAAAAATGTAATGCTACGATATTCATTTTTTGGTCATTTTGCATAAAAATGAACTTGCTGAAAACATAGGGTGAGAGAATGACTTGAAAATAAGCGTACACATAATTTTTTCAGACCTGAAACAAATGGTTCCCGAATCTCAGAAAAATCTTTCCAGTCCCTTCATTGTCATAAAACCTCAGTGGTGTCCCTTGAATAATCTTTACAGTCAAATGATTGTTTCACTAGTGCAATTATATATAAAAATTCATCAATAAAGGGAGGTAACACAGACATTTTTTTTCATTATAGTAAAACTGTGTAAATTGTTATGTTTTTTTTTACAGACCAAAGATTGGATTGAATTTTACAGATCATATTGTTGGTAATCAGCCAGACATGGAAATGGCTAATGTAGCTGAATGGTAAGTTATACCAGAGTTAATAATGTTGCAATGAAATGTGCACTGTGCATAAAAATTAAGAAAAAATCTAAGGCATTACAATATTTTATTGGAAAACTTAAATAAATTGTTTTCTCTTTTGCTATAAACTTAGGTTTGTTTATTATTATTTTTTTTTTTAATTAAAAAATTGTTCATTATTTTCTTGAAATACTTTAAAAAATTCATTATTTTGTTGAAAACTTAAAATTTGTTTATTTTGTTGAAAACTTAAAATTTGTTTATTTTGTTGAGAACTTACAATTTCTTATGCTGTTGGTATTTTTTGAAAATTTACAGGTATGAGAAGAATTTGATGTTTCACCGTTTCTGGTCAGTGGATGACGAGCAGGTGCACACAGAGTACTCTGCCCTTAGATCTATAGTTGTCACGAACTTTGAGGAGACGATAAAAATGCCGATTAACGAGCCGGCACCTGGGAAACGCAAGAGTCAGATACAGGTAATTTACAAATTTTGTTATTGTATTGATTACGGTCATGTTTGGTTATCTACCATATTGAAGGGTCCAGGTCAAATGATCGCTTTTTAAACTTAATTAGTGAAAGAAATATGTTTCGGAGTTTTTTCCATGCATGGTAACGATTTATTCAATGGAACGTTTAATTTGATATAGAAAAGGTGTCAGGTATCCATCTCTGTTAAGTTATCAAGATTAGGGGTGTGGATCGTCGGATAAGTGACGATCCAATCCGAACCACGATTCAGCACTTACGATTCACAAATCGAACCACAAATATTTTGTTATCAAGACACCCATGAATTTCAGAAAACATGTACATTAGTTATAAAAACATGTTTAATAAAATAAAAAAAAACAATAATAAACATTAAAAATATAAAATATAAAATAGATTTATGTTTTTATTCTTTGGATGAATATTTTTGTTTGTTTTTTGAAACCAATTACTTCCTAGCTCAGCATCATGGTTTTTAACCAGCAAATTGTATTTTAGGTAAACTTCATATAATTTATACTTTACTCGTATTTTCTCGATTTTAAGAGTGTGAGAAACAGTGAATGTATATAAAAAAATTAGATCGCGATACACGATCTCTGGGCTTACGAATAGTCAAACTCGATTTTTCACTTTGATTCGTGATTATCCGAGTACTCGGATACACGCCCCAGCCCTAATCAAGATTGCTAGTTTATGTGTTAAAGTTAAAACAATAATGAATCAGCAGGGAAAGTGTCAGGTCTAGAAATTTATTTGCAAGGTTGCAACCTGGTAAAAGCAAAACCTTTGATGATTTTTTTTTTTTGACAAAATTTTTCATATAACCTGAGCTGTCGTTTCAAATTATTTACTTGAAAAAGTCAATTAGGGAAAGAAAAATTTAGAAGTGATTGAGAATTTGACAAAACTTTGTAGGTATATGGTATATTACTGAAATATGTTACGTCAAACTCAAAGTTCTCCACCACATGTTGTTGACCAATCAAACCTGCTCATGCATATATTACAGGAGTATGTAGATTATTATGGTGGAGCCGGGGTACAACATATCGCCATGAACACAGATGACATTATTACAGCTGTAAGTATGTTTATCTTTCTCTTTGTTTCAAATTTGGGAAATGATTTCGCCTTTGTTATTCCGTCTGCCCATCCATTGTCATTAACATAGCAAGTACATTAGGTCACCAGAAAACTATTAGTCTTGTAGCGAAATTGTAGTAAGAAAGACTCTGTCGTGTTGGACTGTACTGTGCAATGTTGCATATATTGACCATGTAAAAAAGGTGCTTTATGTTACAGGATAACAAATGATTATTGCAGCCTTACCAGTACAGGAACCTTGGACCCTTAAAATGCTTTATATTCATATCTGTTAACCCACTTATAAGTTTTCTACAATATGATATATTTATATGATAAATCCTTAACCATGACATTTATGATATTGACAGGTCACAAATCTGCGAGCAAGAGGCCAGGAATTTCTGAAAATACCGAAGACATATTACACTAATCTCAGAGAGAGGCTAAAGACATCAAAGGTCAAGGTTACAGAAAGTTTGGATGTTGTAAGTAACTTGGTTTTTAAGTCATAAAAACGAAGTTAAGGTGGCATGATTGTGTGCATGTATGATTTTGCTCTGTGGGCGTGTCACTTTTACACTTACTATATTGTCTATGCTGTATTATGATATTTTGTATTATTAACTGCCATAGGGTGGTATAGTTGAACATTTGAATAATCTAATAAGTAGGCATTTTTGACTGCAGCATTTCTTGATTGAAATTTGTGAAGCGTTTATTAATGACAATTTTGCAAATACATGGATCTGAACAAGGTTGTAATGAACACTGTAAATATTTTCAGTCCAGCTTAAATTCAGTACTGTGTTTAGGTATTAAATTAATATATTTTGTTTGAGGGGGACATTTGTGGCCAAGTGGTTTCAAACTTTGAATTACTTGCTGAGAAATTCTATTATCCTAATGACAACTTTAGATTCTTTCATTAGAGGAAATTATCCATCTAGCAAACAGAAGGTTGGTTAGTCTACGACAGTGCACGCATGTTTCTGAAGTAATGCATAAAAGAGCATCTGAAGCTTTGCTCCTCGAGTAACTCTTGGAAATCACCATGCAACATGTGATTTAATCAATCAAACAATTAATTTTCACCTTAGTGCAGTAGCAAATTAACTACTCCTAGCTTTTGATAAAAGTTA